ATTGCTAATCTAGTAAGTACAAATTGAATCGTTAGTAGATTCTAATTAAAATAGGATAAATATTTATGAATTAGGTGAGTTCATGACCTGACCTATACGAGGGAATCGAGGCTGTTGGACTATACGAACATAGCTGAAAGTGAGTTTAAAAATCTCGTTAACTCTCATAAAAGACCCTTAAATGTTTAAAAATATCGATATCTTGTTGAATCTTAAACTAATTTATAAATAATATCTTACAAACTACATTTAATTAGAAAATTCAACTTGATACAAGTGCATTAATAGGGTGCCCATCCGCACGAGGAAGAGATTTTGCCGATTAAGAAACTAAATTGTAAGTAATTATACCTAATTTGTTGAAAAGATCTTTATATTTAAATATATACATTTTTAGCTTTGATCAGCACACAAACAAAACGTTTGATCCAAGGAATTGTTTCGGGATAAATCCCAACACGGTGCTGTAATTGAAGAATTTGCCATGAATCCTCAAAACGCAGATGCGCTCGCTAACTGGTTTCCACCGCATAACCCGCTTCATCTGTTTCCCAATCACTACGAAATCAACTCCGCGTTCTGCTCTATCGCCACCGCTGTAGTAGATATGGTATTTGAACGATGTGTTGGCGATAGGATCTACCGCCCTGAATTCACGTTCTCCAGATCTAAGCCACCGTACTTCTTGAATAGCAGCCACACTCACATTCACCTTTTGCAGTTCACGGGCCAGAAGGCCCACTCGTCCAGGTTCATTTAACGTTCTGACATTCCAAGAACCGAGTTTCCATTCATTGTCCTTATTTCGTTGCCGTTGGGTCAGTTGCCGAAAATTCCGTTCGTTTTTTCTTCTTCTTACTTCATTTTTCTGAGTATTTTTATAATTCAGTATGCTACCGTACCAGGGTCGCGATACCTACATCGTGTTGATGGGGCTGCCATCTTAGGTTTAGTTGACACGATTCAACATTTCTTGTTTCAGCCGCTGGATGCCAGACAGACGCTGTTTGAGCCGCACCTCCTGGTGGACAGACGCTCGACGATTCGCACCTCCTCAGCCTTGCTATCATCACGATATGGGTTAATCGTGATGACATTGCCCACACCCCGCTACCAACACATATATGGGCATATACTGACTGTCATCATCCGACCTGGGGGGACGTGCTGTCAAATCAGCCTACTGATCATTCTTGTATGAAACTGGTTCCAAACGTAAACAAACGCTGTAGGTTTCTTATTCTTGTTTACGTTTGGAACCAGTTATGTGAGGTAAGCGACGATTGTTCGTATTTGACAGCCACCTCCCCCCCTTGCATCCGACACGTGGAAGCGTGAGGTAGGAGCTTGTGAAGACTCTTCGGTGAAGACCAGAGCTATGTTGGACGCTCTTTCCCCTGTGGTCCTCACCACTTTGGGGTGCAACAGCTACACATTCGTGCAATTTACAGTAGTGACATTTTGAAAAATGATAAAGTGTTAATTTTAACAGAATCGTAGAAAAAATTCCTATTGATTGGCGTTTTAAGAATTAAAATCCATCATCTCTGGATCAAAATCAGACCACTTTCATGCCGCAACCGACTTTGGTTTTTGAAACTTAAAGTACATGGTATGTTAGATTTAAACATATCCAGATAGAGCTGGACTTAGGCGTAACAGCTTTTGTAAACAATGACTTCTGATGACAATGTTGGAAGAGTAGTTACAGACATTGTCAAACGCCTTTTCGACGTCTAACAAGGCCATGGCTGTGGACTTGGATACAGCTTTGTTACTTCGGATGTTATTCATCACCCGCACTAGCTGATGATTGGTTGAATGCCCCTTACGGAACCCGAACTGTTCCGGAAGAAGACTGTCATGTTCCTCCACAAACTTGTTCAGTCGACTGAGGATCAATTTTTCGAACAGCTTGCTCAGCGCTGAGAGCAGGCTAATCGGTCTGTAGCTTGACGGGTCTTTCCCAGGTTTGCGGATCGGGATGATTTTTGCCACCTTCCAGATGCTTGGAAAGTAGTGCAGCTCCAAGCATCTGTTGAAGGTGGCAGCCAGCAGCGAGTGCACCCTCGGGCTGAGATTTTTCAACGCTAGGTTGAATATTCTGTCAAACCCGGGAGCCTTCATGTTCTTACTGTATTTCAGCGCGGAGCAAATTTGCTCCTCTGTAATCCGTTCTTGTGGAGGGACGGCACAAGGGGAGGCATCTAACGTTTGGACGCACTGCGCAACCTGGTTCTCGAGTGGACTTGGGATTTTGGAGCCAAGCAAATGCGACTGGGCAATGTGCTCCCCAATCGCATTGGCCTTCTCTTCGTTGGTGATAAGCCGTTCGTCATTGACTCTAAGTGGTGGAATGGGCTTGGGGTGAGACTTCAGCACCTTGGCAACCTTCCAGAATGGTCTGGAACGGTCGTCCAGGTTCTGAACGAGCCGCCCGAAACTTTCGTTCCGGATTGAGACCATTCTGGAAGCGATCTGCCGATTCAGATCGACCATTTCGTATTTACGCTGCAGATCTCCAGTCCGCTGAAACTGGCGCCTACGAACATTTCTGAGCCGAATCAAGAGTTTGGTGTGGGAATCAATTGCTTGAAACTTACCCCTCACAGGAACTCGTCGAACGCACTTTTCGTCAGCCACGGATATGGCTTGATGGAGACCCTCCAGGACCCGGTCGATGTCCTCCACTGTGTCGAGCGGTGGGTTGTCGTCGATGTGGCGGTCGACCACGCGCCGAGACTGGACCCAGTTGACTCGATGGTAGTCCTTTCTCAGGCACGGTGCAGGGTCCACGTTGCAGCCCAGCTCGGTCAGCACCGGTGGGTGGTCCGAACTCAGGTCGTTGACGGCAACCGGCTTGGCTAATCCGGTGTTTGCGAAGAACAGGTCCAGCGTCGATGGGTTGCCCGCCGATGATGTGAAGGTTGGTTCGTCCGGAAACCAGACGGAATAGAGACCATGCTGGGAATGGTCGAATAGTAGGCGGTCGTTCTGGTTCTGCTGGTAGTTCCGCCAGGCCTCGTGCCGGGCGTTCAGGTCCCCTCCGATTACGAAGCGGGCATTGGTGCGGGTTATGATGGCAAGGTCGTTCTTTAACTGCTGTGCTGTACCATTGCTAACGGTACATTGCCGGGGGCAGTAGGCGGCGATGAACCGAACGTTTCCGGTCGATGTTTCCACCTCTACGCCGACGGCCTCGATGATGGAAGTGCGGTAGTGGGGTAGGGTGCAGTACTTGATGCCTTTCTTGATGATTACCGCGACACCGCCCCCCCTGGAGCTGGTGCGATCAAGCCGGACAATGCTGTGGTCGGGCAACCAGAAGCTTTCACCGGTCTTGAGGTGGGTCTCGGTGAGAAGACCCACGTCGATGTCGTGCTTGCGGAGGAAGTCTGCAAGCTCAATGTTTTTTGCTCCTACGGAGCGAGCGTTCCAGTTGGCAACCTTTATGGCTTCACGGTCCATAATTAGCGACGAAGGAGATGATAGCTTGGAGCTGTTGTGTTCTTGTAGCGCAGGTGCGCTTGATGATGATGGCCTGGGCCAACAGTGTGACTATCTCATCCGTTGACAGCGGAGAATCGTCTGTAGCTTCGCCGGTTGTACCAGCCAATCCCGGAGCAGGGGATCCGTCGATGGCCCTGAGGCTTAACCGGGTACTGCAGCGGCAGCCGACTGGGCAGCAGACAACTGTTGCTTGAGTGGGAGCGGCGGCAACACTGGAATTGGCCGTGGTTGGACCGGTGATATCGGAAGAAAGTTCTGCGCGTTGTTTTCCGGAACCTTCTTGCGACCGGGCTGGTTGTTGGACGAGGCCTTCTTGCGGATCTCGGCGTATTCGGCCCGCTTCGGACAGGCCTTGTGGGCGGCACCGGAGTTGGCGCATGTGGGAGCGGCTTCCTCGATGCTGTCGCAGTCGTCGATCTTGTGGTTTTTGCCGCATTTGATGCAGCGGCTGGCCATGCGGCAGTTCCTGGTGCCGTGCCCGAACAACAGCACTGAGTGACGCCACGGTGGGTCGGCTTATACCGCTCCCATTTCACTACGATGTGGAACAGTGTGCGTGTCGTCTGGAGATCCATCACGGTTGTGGAGTTCTTCTCCAGATGGACCAGGTAGAGCTGGTCACGATACTTGATGGCCTTGCTGCGGGTCATCTTGTGGATTTCCACTGGCTTGAGGCCGTTCGCCTTAATCTCGTTCATTAAGGTGGTAGAGTCCATGTCGTGGTGACCTCGACGTCGTGGGAGAAGTACTCCAGCTTCATCCTGTCCAAGAGGGCCTGGACTGAGTTGTAGTGTTTTTCGGCCGGGACCAACAGTTTGTAGCCTTCCGTGCACCGTTGAATGGTGCATCGAAGGCCCTCCTTAATGTAGTAATCGAGCTGCTCCCATAGCCCGAGAGGGAAGCCCTTCACATAGAAGGGTGGCAACTTCACTTTTTTCGGCACCGTCTCAGGGTCCGACTGCGGCTGGGCTCCGTTCTGCAGGGCGGAGAACGGATTATTGCTCAGCAGCTTTTTTGCTGCCGATGCGGTGGCGCTGCTGTCTTCAGGTCTGGGTCGTTTAGTTCCGGGAGGCCCCGGCTGCGGGTCCGCAACGCCTGTCGGGACGGGCAATGGGGTTTTCTTCTGCTTCTTCTGGGCTGGCTCGGAGGTCGCGCCGCCTCCTGGGAGAGGCTGTTTTCCCGATAAACCGGCACTCGCGTTACCGCGCGATTTCTTACCCATGGCTGGCTCAGCGAGAGCGTCACTACACAACGCGGAGCTAATAAATTGGTGTCTTTGGTGCACTCCTTCCTTATGATAAAATCAATAAGTGCTCCGAAGACACCAAAACGATTTGACGAAATCGTGCACTTTGATCACACTTGTTGCATTTTTGGGGCTGCCCAGTTTCAGATGCAATCAGCAATATTAACCGAACTGAAAAAAGAGTCTACTCGTACATGTCAACCGAGAAGTATCTTGAATAATCCTTTCGATCTCTCATTCGCAGACAGTCTCGACTTCATCCAACGGTTGGACCTCTGGAAGACGCTCAAGGTACACAAGGGCTGCGTAAACACTGTATTCTGGAGCGACGATGGCCAGCTGCTCCTGTCCGGGTCGGACGATCAGCACATCGTCATCAGCAGTCCCTTCACCGGGCAGACCCTGTTCCAGCACAAGACAACCCACAGGGCTAACATTTTCAGTGCTCGATTTCTGCCGCAGAGCGGAAACCGGGAAATTGTGTCCTGCTCGGGCGACGGGATCGTACTGTACACGGAACTGAAGGACGTTGCGCTGGAACCGGCGGAAGCGCACGAACGCAACTTGAACTATTTCAACTGTCACAGCAATGGGACGACGTACGAAGTGATGACGGTTCCAACGGAACCGAAATCATTCATGAGCTGCGGGGAAGACGGTACGGTTCGGTTGTTCGATCTGCGCAAAATGACGCGCTGTCTGAAGACGTGCTGTAAGGATAACATCCTTATTCTAAGCCCTTCAGCAGTGACGGCGATGACCCTGTCGCCGATTTCGATGAACTACATAGCGGTGGGAAGTTCCGATAGTCACGTGCGAATCTTTGACAGAAGGTTCCTAAAGATGGTGGATTGTAATACGCCCGGATCACCGAACGATCGCCATACCGTGCCGGTCAAGATGTTTACCAACCCGTCGATGGAGAAGCGATCGTTCCGGGTGACATCAATCGCTTACAGTCAGGACGAGACTGATTTGTTGGTAGGTTTTTTGTTGTTGTTGGGATCGATTTTGTGCTTCGGATAATAAGTTCCATTACGCCTTGCAGGTTAACTACTCGTCCGACCATTTGTACCTGTTTGATGTAACGAAGGAGGGAATTGAGGTGAAGGCGGCGCAGGCTTCGAGCAGTGCGGAGAAGGGTAAACGGGGTTCAAAGACGCAGAACAGTATCGACAGTCCACCGCCGGTGCGTCGGTTACGTTTGCGTGGCGATTGGTCCGATACCGGGCCGGATGCACGACCGGCCCGCGAGATGGCTTCGCGAGTATTCGGGGCCGGCCAGGCTCGACCACAACTGCAGGCAACGATCATGCATCGTATGACCGAAGTTCTGTCACGAATGTTGGCCGACCCCAGGACGCGCATCGGACTAACGCACACGAACGAACTGACCAACGATAGTGATCTGGCGAATGTGGTCGATGACTTCCGGAGTTTTGCCAGCAGCAGTAGCGGCGGTGGAGGAAGTGATGAACAGCGGGAAGGTTCGGGAGAACCGCAACCTTCAACGAGTGGTTCTCAGCCGAGGTCGAGGCAGGTTGATGGCGATTCTGAACGAAGTGGTACTGCTTCCTCCGGTGGTGGCAGGGAGAGGGATGAGGAAGAAGATGACGATGACGATTACGATGAGGAGGAAGATGAAACTAAACTAAACCAAAGAAAAAAGTCTGATAGCAGGGCGGAGGAATCCGCTTACGAAGCAGAACTGAAAGCACTGAAAGATCTCGAAGCGAAAGTCATAAATTACGATTACGTCTTGAGAAAGTTTGTGGGGCATCGGAATGCGCGGTAAGTCGTTGTGGTTGGTTCTGGGATGAACACTATAGACTAATGGAAAATCAATCATCTCCATCAGCACAATGATCAAAGAAGCGACATTCTGGGGCAACGACTACATCATGTCCGGTTCGGATTGCGGTCACGTGTTCACGTGGGAACGCGCTACCGGTCGGCTGGTGATGCTCATGGAGGCGGACCAGCACGTGGTGAATTGCGTCCAGCCACATCCGACGCTGCCGATGTTGGCCACGTCCGGTATCGATTACGATATCAAAATATGGTCCCCCATGGACGAGGAGAAGGTCCGCTTCGATCAGGAGGCGGCGAATGATGTAAGTGACGACCATAATGGTGGAATGTTGACTGATGCACCAGGTAGAGTGAAAGCTGGCGGCCGAGCGGATCTGCAAAAGGAAAAAAATATTAATAATATCGTTTGTCCGCTCGGGCAACAGCTTACACTCTACCAGCGGCCTTCATTGGCGTAAATAAGGGGGAGGGAAGCCCTCCTTATACCTAGAGCTGGCCCTCCCAAGAGATTTTATGAAATAAACACCACAGCTATGCAGAGCAATTTGCATTGCATGGAGGAATTCATTCGATTTGAAGGTGTCTTAATTTTGATAACAGTTGAAATTTTGTGAAGTGTTTCAAGACTTTGAAAAACATCCATAGAGCTTCATTGGAATCATATTGAAAATATATGGATACTAACTAAGTTTTATAAAACTTATACGAAGGTTCCTGTACTTCTACAAAGTTTGTTTTAATTCAATTCCATGAACTCAAATAAAGCTCCTTGAACTTCTTCCCAATCCATTTATCTTATCCCTGAGGCTCTATGAAGTTCCTCAAATTAGTTTCTGTGAATTTCTGGAAAGTTGCGTCCACTTATACGAAGTTTTCTGAACTAATACGATTTGTTTATAGCTTACACAAACTACAGCTAAGTTTTTACCAATATTACTGAACTTTCATTCATTCACTGTTCCCGGAAATTTGAACAAGAATTCAGAGCTTCGTGGCACCTCCCTTAGCTCAGTCGGTAAAGGTGCAGCTACAAAGCAAGACCATGCTGGAGGTGGCTGGGTTCAATTCCCGGTCCGGTCTAGGAATTTTTCGGGTTGGAAAATTTCTCGACTTCCCTGGGCATAGAGTATGATTGTACTTGCCACAAATGGTACAGGCACCGAAAGCGCTCAATTAATAACTGTGGAAGTGCATCTAGAACACTAAGTTGAGAGCACGCAATAAGCTACCCAACAAACAATTTTAGCTGCAGCTTAGCTTATACAGGCAAAAAAACGCTGCGTAAGGCAAATTTTGGCTCTATAAGCTAAATTGCAGCTAAAATTGTTTGTTGGGTAATATGCCATACGCAATAAGCTTGAAATGCGAGGAAGAAGAAAGAAGATGAATTTCTACAGTTCTATCTACAAAACACCCTGAATTCCAAGAAAACCTAGAAATTCTAGCTGAGCTTCTATGAAGTTCGCTGAACTTCTACATAATTCCTTGCTCTTCAAAGAAGTTTTGCGAAAATTCTCACTTAAGTTCGCTCAACTTGTACAAAAATCGCTCAACTACTATAAATTCGCTGCCCTTCTATGAAGCTTCCCGAACTTCGTTTATTCTGTTCCATGAAGTTCTATAACAATTTGAAATTCTAATTTTTTTTAAGAAGTGCTAAAGTATTGTATATTAACTTGTACATTAACTTGTACATTAACTTGTACATGTTCTCCAGTTTTACGAAGTTTAAAAAAAAATCGAAGGTAGAGAAAAATGCCAAAACTTTAATAAGCTTTCTCAAATTGCAACAAATTTCTATGAAGTTTGATAAAGTTCTACTAAATAATGTAAATTTCACTGAAGTTGTATGAAGTTCACTGAGCTTGTATAATAATATATCAACTCCTATGAAATTTCTGTAAATTTATGAAGTTTTTTAAAGCTATATAACATTTTCTAAACTTTTAAAAAATTTCATAAGAATCTACGAAGTTTACAGAAATCAATCTACCTTCTACGAATTTCCATTGATATCTAAGAAGGTCCCTGAACTTTTGTATAAACTCGTTTTAAAGAAATCTGAAAGAACGTACATCTTTCACAACCCGTAATTTTTAAATATAGGAGGGAAGATATTTTGTCGATCCCTACATACTACCGATGGTTTATAGTTTATATCTTGTCAGGTAGGGCCATGCCACCTAGCTCATCATCACAGAACAGCAGGTGAACTTCGGATCCAAAAGTGGTTCCATATTATGATTGTAAACACTAGCGCACCTGGCGGTAGAAGGCAAGCTTTGCCTGCAGTGTAAATATATGGGTAGCATGCTTTGATTGTGTGAGTGCCCGCTTGGTGATCAAAATTGTTCTCCCACTTTTTGATACACTGATTCGTTCACAATTCCATTTCTGATCTAGGACATCATCATAGTTACGTCTATGGACCTTAGAGCAGTTCCACGCCAAATGACGAATCGGAAAAACTCAACCTTCTCCGATTTGCATTACACTTTGCATAACTGTGTGTTATGGGCAATCATTCACATTTCTGGATCTTGCAACTTTTTTTCCAAAATGGCGTCTTTGCCTGATTACCGTGTATATTTTTCCCTAGAAGTAACTCGGGGTTCAACTTGCAGAAACAGTCAACATCACCGTTGCCTGCGTTTATTTGCCATGTGGACGAATCGACAACCTCAACTGTCAACTCAGCGAGACCCTAATGAAATTACCTGAACCACGCATCCTAGTTGGGGACGTCAACGCGTACCACTCAAATTGGGGTTGCCCTCGGTCGGACTATCGTGACACGGACCTCGTGGAAATATTCGAGAAGGAAGATATGGTAATCTTGAACGATGGTGCTCCAACGTATTTCAACGGGAGATACACATCCGCTATCGACGTAACAGCCGCCAGTCGCCACATCGCTGGTAAAACGCAGTGGAACGTAAACTCTGACCTGTACGGTAGTGACCACTACCCCATACAAATTCAACTCTCGGCGACCTTCGTCCCGGCGGTAACACGGAGGCCAGGATGGCGGTATGAACAAGCGGACTGGGAAAGCTACGGTGCCACTGTGGAGATTCTACTACTACAGCGAAACCCGGGCAGTATCGAGGACTTCTCGGACGCCATATATTAAGCAGCAAAGCCCGGCGCAAGGCACTTCGACGTGTAAAGCGGCTCCCCATCGGACACCACGACAGAGAGGAGGCCCTTTGTCACTACCGTGAACTACACAACCAATACCGACAATAAATCCGTGATGCCAAGCGATCCAGCTGGATGGAGTTCCTGGAGGGGATGAACGCATCGCAATCCTCGGCCGATCTCTGGCAGCGAATCAACGCCCTTAGTGGGAAACGACGCACGACACCACTTCACGTCCAGGTTAATGGTTAATGCATCCACAGGTTAGCTGATGAACTCGGTACCTACTTCGCCGAGCTCGCAGCAAATTGACAAGTATGACAACAAGTTCAAGCAGAAAACCAAGCCATCGACCGCATCCATCGCAGACTTCATAGTACCCCCCAACACCACCAGTACCGGTATAAACCAAGCTTTCTCTTGGCAGGAACTGCAGCATGCCCTTCGCTGCAGCAACGGGAAGTCGGCGGGACCCGACGAAATCGGATATCATCTACTCAAGAGGCTACCGGTGCCAGGACAGCTACGGATGCTAGACCTCGTCAAACAAGCTCTGGCTTACTAAAGGGTACCTAGCAGTATGGAAGGAAAGCTTGGTAGTTCCCATCCCGAAAACCGGGGTAGCCACTCGTTATATGGCCAAAGTCCTAGAGCGTATGGTCAATCGAAGACTGAAGCAACACCTCGATGCTGGAAATTTCCTTGATCACCGACAGCACGCTTTCCGACAAGGTTTCGGAACGTCCAACTATTTCGCAACCCTAGGGGAAGTTCTCAAGAACGCCTACGACAGTGGTCTGCACACCGAGATAGTATCGCTCGCAATATCGAAGGCCTTCAACAGAACGTGGACGCCCCTCGTCCTTAAGCAACTAATCGACTGGGGTCTTAACGGACCCATCGCTCACTTCATCCAGAACTTCTTGTCCAACCGCTCATTCCGAGTCGCAGTCGGCAACACCACCCGAGGAAACGGGTGTCCCACAAGGATCGGTTATCGCCGTTACCGAACCCACGCCAGTACGTACAAGGATGAGAGCCCAAGCGGCAGTCTCCGCCGTCGCCAGGTGGGCCCACCCAGTAGGCTTTGAATTATCAGCCTCTAAAAGCATCAGGTGCCATGTCTGCCCTTCTCGACACAGAATTAGCGGACCACCGATCAAAATCGACGGCCAGTCCATACCGCTGAAGAAGAACGTCCGAGTTCTGGGAGTTCTCGTTGACCGATTCCTCAACTTTGAACAGCATTTCAGTGCAGTCAAGAAAAATTGCCGCAGCCGAGTGAATCTCATCCGGACCATTTCCCGACAGAATAGTTAGAACAACCGAAGCATCCGTTTCCACGTGGCGAATTCAATTATCGACAGTCGCCTTCTATACGGGTTGGAGATGACCTGCATCGCAACGGATAAGCTTTTAGCTACGTTAGCACCAGTCTACAACACCTACGTCTGGATTGTCTCTGGCCTGCTGCCATCCACGCCCGCTGATGCTGCATGCATCGATGCAGGCATCCTGCCTTTCCGCTTCCGTATAACCGCAGCTATCGCAACCAAAGCCGCTGCTTTCATCTCGAAGACATCCGGAAATCAAGGGATTTTCCTCCTCGACGAGGGGAATTGACTCCTCCGCACGGCTGCCAACGAAGATCTCCCCATAGTGGCCAGGGTCTACTGGCATGGAGACAAATGCTGGCAAACACCATTACCGAAAATCGAAACCCGGATTAAGAACAGGTTCAAAGCCGAGACGGATCTCGCTCTCGGGCCTGGGTCGGTATCGGTCTAGCCGGAAACATCACACCAACCAGCTGCAGCTTACCGCCGCAATGTTTTGTAATTTCTGCTGAAGCTGCTGCCATCTTCATCGCTGCTACAACGCTCTCCAACCGACCGATCCTGGTCCTCACGGATTCGCACATTGTCATACAAGCCCTGACATCCGAAGCCCCGACTCATCCCTGAGGACAGACGACGATGAAGTCCGCGCCACCAAACACGGGCACTGCGGAATACAAGGCAACTCTGTAGCAGACTTTCTGGCTGGGGCAGGACCATCTGCCCCCTCGCTATACTAACGAAGTACCGTTACACGATGTCAAGCGCTGGATCGTGAGCAAAGTACGGGAAGCTTGGGACGCAGAGTGGGCTCAAAACCGCTCCCTCTTCATCAGACGGATCAAAGGGACGTCGAGGAAATGGACAGAACAGTTGAACCAGCGGGATCAGAAGATAGCGTCGCGTTTGAGGACCGATCACACCAAGATCTCGCACAATTTCGGTGGAACGCCGTTCCACAGGACTTGCGTCGGTTGTAGAACTCTAGCCTCAATCGAGCACATTCTATGTGTATGCCCTCAGTATCAGAACCTGCAGGATTTCCACGGGCTTCCAAATAGCATACCTGACATGCTGGGTGATGAACTGATGATGCCCCCACAATGGCAGAGTTTTTGCAAAAATGTGAATGATTGACCATAACAAGCAATCATGCAAAGTTTCATGTAAATCGGAGAACGTCGAGTCAAAATTTTTGTTTATACTATTTGGCCTGGAATAGGTTCTTAGCAAGGAAGGTAAAGGTTAAGTCCCTCGGAGTGAATTATGAACTATTATTGAATTATTTTTATTCCATCCAATAAACCAATACCCAAATCAAGCTCATCTTGAAGAAGAATTACGACCAATTTGGTAGACCTTTATCCACACAAAGTTAGCAACGAACATCTAGCAGCCTAACATTTTCAAGGAAACCTGCAAACATTCGAAACTGCCGTGAATATACGAAGAATACCTACCCATGATAATTATTTTCGGATTGAAGCATAACAATTTAGTATTTCCTGGTTTATTTCTATTGTTTGGTTACAGCTCATGGAACGCAATGCGGTAATGCTAGAGGAAACCAAAGATACAATTACGGTGCCAGCTTCGTTCATGATACGGATGTTGGCGTGCATCCACTCGCTGCGGAACCGACGGGGACCGGCTGGTCCGGCAGCTTCCGCCTCCGCACCCGACAACAATGGTGGCTCCAATGGCGACAATGGTGGCTCCAATGGCGACAATGGTAGCACTAACAATAACAATAATGGTAATAACAACAACAACAACAACAACAACAACGATCGTGAGGAGAATTCCGGCGGAGAGCGGGAAGGCCGGAGTGGCAGTTCCGAACACTTTCTGTAGACAAGGTAAGTCGTTTGCTGAAGCTAGACATCACGCGTCTCGACGAAGAATGGGTGTTTTATTGTGTGCTCTATTCCATGCAAAAGCGAACACTGACTCAGACACCTTCATTATCATTAGGAGGGTTATGATCAATCGACATAACCAACAAACAAGCAAGATGTGATTTTCTGTTGTACGGTCAACAATGAGTATGACTATTATGATTTAAAGAATCGTGTTTGCTGACTACATTTACTGAGTTGGAACCAAAAGAAATCCTTTCAGAAGGCCATGCCGTTGTTGCTGTTGGCTCGTCGGGTCTTTCCAATCCTGTGATGCACGTGCTCAACTATGAAAACAATCGTACTCACACATATTCCAATAGCCAGCAGATAGAACGGGAACTGCATGTCCACTAGAGTCAAAATCTTGAAGTTCGCGTCCTGGGAATTCCTAATTTGCTCCCAATCCCTGATGGTCGTATTGAAGTTTATCTCCGAGATCCAATGGTTGATAAGTCCGCCGTCGAACATCCTCGAAATCAAGGTGTTGATCCTTTCCAAGAGCACCGAATGCCTTTGAACAACGTAAGCCAGACTGTACGTTCTGGGACATTCTCTGACCATGTGCAGTTGATTTGTGGACAAGAAGACGGCGTTGTCCAGAGATAGTGTCGTTTTCCGGGTTACCGTAGAAATGGTCCCTAGCTGAGCCACTCGATATGGCATTGATCCCGGGATCGGCTCATAGACCATTTTACTCCGCAAGGCGTCCATCGTTGGACTGTTGTTGGCAGGAAAGACGTCATCCATGAAGCCTCGGTACTTGACTTCGATTTTTATTCCGGATTTATCCAACTGCTCTAGGGTATCTATGTCCTTGTAGTACACTGGATTCAGAAAAACGGAAGCCAAACTCGATTGAAACATAGATATGAAGATTAAACTGACCAGCATCATCCCGAAGAGCATTAGGCGTTCGATGCTGGATCGGGTGAATCGACGGAAGGGAGCACTTACCCATATGATGTAGCTATCAACGCATATCCGCATCACTTTGCGGTACGTGGGAGCATCGCGGGTTTCGTTCGACAGGTTGAATAGGTGACCTAGTCGTTGATCTTCACTCCATGTGACGCGAGAGCCAACAGCGATCCGTATAACCGCTCGAATAGCCGTCCAAATAATCGAAAAGCCGATCCCCGACAGGAACAGTACGCCCCACAGATCCGTCGGAAAGATGGTGATCGGAAGCAGATACTCTGGAATTCGGCTCGCTTTCTTCACCAAACAGCACAACTCGTCGTTGTACACTCCCGTAGTAAACTCAATATCCCGACTGAAATAGTCCTTAACGAAGAATCCAACAAACGCGATGTCGCTTTCGCGTCGAGCAAGTCGACCGATGGCCCCGTTGAAGCTACCGTTTGGCAGCTGATTCCCAAAATTGTCTCCATCCGGGCGGATGTATAACGCTGAAATGGAAAGATGCACTTAGAAAACGTTCCATTCAAGTTCCTCCGATATGCAACTCACGTGTGAAGTTCAACGCCGTGGTCAATGCCCGACAAACTTCAGCATCAGGTCCTAGAAAATCAACCTCAGGTACACTCTCGTTCATTGGCACCGTATAGGTCGACCAAAACATTTCGATTCTCAACGGGTATCCCTTGAAGTCGTTTCGTGGAATCTCAGGAAATTCTACCGCTTCGCTCAATTCCTTCAACGCACCATAACCATCCCCTTCAGTTGCAAACGGATTATACCAGTAGATTCGTTCCTCCACCAAGGTGAACACCCTGCAAGCGCCATTGCGATTCCAAATGTCATGCATCAAACGGGACACTTGATCCTGTTCAACCTGATCCTCGTGTTTCCCATCCGGCAGAACCAGGTACGTCCCAGTCGGACCAACCAAACATTCTACCAACCTCTCAAACACATTTAAATTCCCAAAAACTACGTAACCATCGTGCTCATTTTGCTCCCAAATCTTCGCGAACGATCCAAACGTACGATCCCACCGAATAAGCTGGTACTCATCATCGTAATCGCGATCGGGAACACTGGCAGTGCAACCACCACGGTCTACTCCGTTACTGGTTCGCGTTTCCTGGTAAATTCGGATGGATTTCCCTCGTAGGTGACGAACCAGGTAGTCCAGCTGATCCATGCGATCAATGGCATGATCGTCCAGCACGATATCGATGTTGTCGATACGATCGAAGACGATGGCGATTTGCGATTGGATGGTAGCGCTGGTCAACCAGCTCGGGATGTCTGGCTCTGGACCGTTCGCCATCTGTGGCAGGATGACGGTTGGAACGAGTACGATGCTTACAACGATTGTCACACTGAACCGGAGCATTGCGCTTGTTTGTGGAAAATTCCACGTAGAACTGACCGTTTCCACTTGCCAAGCGGCGACATTTATTGTTCCGTGGATGGAGAAGTATACAATGGCAGACTCTGTAGGTTTTTCATTAGCGGACAAATAGGGACCGTTTGGGGTTTGATTAATTTATTGATGCTGATTTGGAGTGGATTGATACGATTTCATTTATTAGCACCGATTTGAGTGACGCGTGGATGTAGCTTGGGTCGAAAAGTTATAAATTCGATTCCCCGTGTTTGAGATAGGTATGTATAAAATTAAAGTAAGCCTAAAGTTTACCAGTAAGTTTTTTTTAATTTGGGGATTTTGATAAAAAAGGTGTCGGTTAGAAAGCTAATGTAACACTACAAGTTGGAACGGTAGGATGTATTGTGCTACACAATGCGCATTGTAGTTGTGATTATTTTGAAAGAAGTATATTTTCCACAGAAATCGGCTCTCGGTGATAAGTTGGCAATATTCCTAAAATAAATATTTTAAATATTCCTATACGTCAATAAAGAAAAACTTGTAGCGGCGCCGGCGGTGTAGCGGTAAGCGTGATTGCCTCTCACCCCAAAGAGCCTGGGTTCAATCCCAGTCGGTGCCGCTGGGATTTTCTGAGGCAAAAAATCTCTGATCACGATAAGTAAAGCATTATCGTCATCACCACAGCTAACCACAGCAACCACAGCAACAAAAACAACAACACCGATGACGACGACTACCCAACAGTTGGCAAGGCAGCTAGCATGGTCAGCACCCAACACTCAAACCTAGCATCAGCATTTCTCTACCCGGCAACGAACCTGGTCATCCGGCACTATAACAGGTATTTAGGTAGTTTACTTACTCAGCAGATAGATAGGGCTATACCTAAGTTCACCTTATAATAATTTTAAATAAACGTGCAGTTAGTCTTTATCCTCGATCGGAGTAACATTTTGCTTGTTTTTTAAAACTTGGATTGGGTGCCCAAAAACCCTCAACTGATATATAGGGGAAATGGCTCTAATGTTGGCCTATGGATCTAAGATTGGGCCCATCGCTAAAAATCTGCTATTTAACAATTTTATCTAGATGAACGCGTCATTGGGACGGTACTAAAGGATATTTTTGGTCGCTGTTGAAAATTTAGTCGATTGATGAATTTATGTATGGGCCCAAATTAGGGGCATTTACGCCGACATTACATCCATTTCCTCTATCTCCAAGCATTTTTTTTTGCTTAAAGTAATTAGTAAGTTCGGTACGCCAAAAAGATTTTGAATTTATTCAAATACATGCAGCGTGACTAAGTACATACAATATAATCGCAGCAGTACGAGTATTTGTATGTTTCAAATAGAGATGTTCAGGATAATAGAGAAACTGTCCATCTTCATGATGCATGTGGGCGTCTATAGTGGAATACCTGTATAACGAAAGAGAGAAGAATCAGCAATTTCCATTGAATTCCTCTACCTTAACTGCTTATCTTTGACAAATACGCGTAGAGGAATGGTTCTAGGGAAAACAATGTTAGTCTCCAAACCCCGAGTTCAGATTGAGGATGATGAAATCGAGGTGGCCGACGAGTTCGTGTTGGTGTATTTGAGCTCACTGGTGAACGCCGAAAATGATGTCAGTAGAGAAATTAAAAGACAGGGTATCGTGCCTACTTTGGTCTCTGAAGGACACTCCCGTCGAATAAAATTTGCCTTTTTTTTTTTTTTTATTTTTTTTTAACTCTTTATTTGTTCCAAATTCAAAATAAATTACATTTCATTTTAACCTAGGTGCTCCAGTTACTGCAGTAACGTACCAGCCTTAATTGTTATGATATATATCTAAGTGTTTTTACATTGTTCATGTCTTGGCAATTCAGTATTTTAAACAGGTTTTTTAACCTGCATGTCAGTATAACAATTGATATCTTAAAACTAAAAACTAAAACTAAATCTTATCTAAGTATAAAGGGAATTAATCGTTGCAATTGAGGATTGCAACGATTTTTGCCTGAAATTATTAATTATTTTGTTGGACATTTGTGCTAAAGTCTCAACATTCGAAATTCTATGTACGTCGGTTGTACTGTACCAGGGAGGCAACTTCAAAATCATTTTCAAAATTTTGTTCTGAATCCTTTGAAGTGCTTTTTTCCTGGTAGTGCAGCAACTAGACCATATTGGCACAGCGTAAAGCATGGCCGGTCTAAAAACTTGTTTAAATATTAGAAGTTTATTCATCAGGCAAAGTTTGGATTTCCTGTTTATAAGAGGATACAAACATTTTATATATTTGTTACATTTGGCTTGAATGCCCTCAATGTGATCTTTAAAAGTTAATTTTTGGTCAAGTATTAATCCAAGATATTTCACTTGGTTTGACCAGGAAATTGGAACTCCGTTCATAGTGACTATGTGACTACTACTAGGTTTCAAAAAGGAAGCCCTGGGCTTATGTGGAAATATTATAAGTTGAGTTTTGGAAGCGTTGGGAGAAATCTTCCATTTTTGTAAATAAGAAGAGAAAATATCTAAACTTTTCTGCAGTCTGCTGCAAATAACACGAAGACTTCTTCCTTTAGCGGAAATGCCTGTGTCATCAGCGAACAAAGATTTGTGGCAACCCTGAGGCAAATCAGGGAGGTCCGAAGTGAAAATGTTATACAATATAGGCCCAAGAATGCTACCCTGAGGAACTCCTGCCCTAACAGGTAGTCGATTAGATTTGGAATTTTGATAATTTACTTGAAGAGTTCTGTCAGTTAAATAATTTTGGACTAATTTCATAATATAAAGTGGAAAATTAAACTTTTTCAATTTAGCAATCAAACCTTCATGCCAAACACTGTCGAATGCTTTTTCTATGTCTAGAAGAGCAACTCCAGTTGAGTGGCCTTCCGATTTGTTTGAACGAATTAAATTGGTAACTCTTAAGAGTTGATGAGTAGTTGAATGCCCATGGCGAAATCCAAACTGCTCATCTGCAAAAATTGAGTTCGTATTGATGTGAAGCATCATTCTATTCAAAATTATCTTTTCAAAAAGTTTACTTATTGAAGAAAGCAAACTTATTGGACGGTAGCTAGAAGCTTCAGCTGGATTTTTATCCGGCTTCAAAATTGGAACAACTTTTGCATTTTTCCATTTATCAGGAAAGTATGCCAAATGGAAACATCTGTTAAATAATTTTACCAAGAAAGACAAGGTACTCTCTGGGAGTTTTTTGATGAGGATATAGAAAATTCCATCATCACCTGGAGCTTTCATATTTTGAAAATTTTTAGTTATAGACCTTACTTCGTCCAAATCAGTCCCCCAGGAATCATTAAAAATATTTTCCCGAGAGAAAATATTCAGATAATCCAGAGCAACCTGACTCTCAATAGGACTAGTAAGACCCAAACTGAAATTATGGGAACTCTCGAATTGCTTAGCAAGTTTCTGAGCTTTTTCCAAATTTGTGATCAAAATTTTACCACCTTCTTTAAGCGCTGGAATAGGCTTTTGAGGTTTTTTCAAAATTTTTGTGAGTTTCCAAAAGGGTTTGGAACTCGGGTCTAATTTAGAAATATTATTTTCAAAAGTTTTGTTCCTCAGGGCAGAGAATCGCTTTTTAATTTGTTTTTGCAAATCCCGCCAGATAACTTTCATGGCAGGATCGCGTGTTCTTTGATATTGTCTCCTACGGACATTTTTAAGACGGATCAAGAGCTGAAGATCATCGTCTATTATAATTGAATCGAATTTAACCTCGCATTTTGGTACTGAGGCAGCTCTTGCTTCAACTATAGAAGTAGTCAGAGATTCAAGAGCATAATTAATTTCATCTTTGGTTTGCAAAGGAATGTTTGGATCGAAGTTATATTCCATAAATGTTCGATACCGCTCCCAATTAGCTCTATGGTAATTGAAAGTAGAGCTGTTGGGATTAGAAATTATTTCTTGGGATATTTCAAAAGTTACTGGAAGGTGATCAGAACCGAAGTCAGCATGGGTAACCAATTGGCTACAAAGTTGACATGAATCAGTTAAGACCAAATCAATAGTGGAGGGATTTCTTGCAGAAGAAAAGCATGTTGGGCTGTTTGGATATTGAATAGTGTAATAACCTGCAGAACAATCATCAAACAGAATATTACCATTGGAATTGCTTTGAACATTATTCCATGAGCGGTGTTTTGCATTAAAATCACCAATAATGAAGAATTTAGACCTATGACGGGTAAGTTTCTGGAGGTCACCCTTGAGAAAATTCTTTTGCTGGCCTACGCATTGGAATGGCAAATAGGCAGCTATAAACGTAAGTTGTCCAAATTTTGTTTCAACAGAAACTCCCAAAGTTTCAAAAACTTTGGTTTCAAATGAAGAAAGAATTTTATGCTTGATTCGTCTATGAATAATGATGGCAACGCCACCACAGGGTCCATCAAGACGATCATTTCTATAAATCAAGTAATTTGCGTCCTTCTTAACCTTATGGGCAGGTTTAAGGAACGTTTCAGTTATAACGGCAATATGCACGTTATGAACTCTCAAAAAGTTAAAAAGCTCGTCTTCATTATCTTTAAGAGATCGAGCATTCCAATTTACAATATTTAATGCTTTAAAATCCATTACTGAATTTTAAAGTCATGACAATATTATTTGCAAATTTTACTCCAGTTTGAATAGCATCAAACATGGAGTTAGATTTAAGCATATCAGAAATCATGTCAATTAATGAATTCTGTAAAAATTCCATTTTGGGGGCAGTAATGCTTCCTAAGTCAAAATTGTCAAAATTTCCGTTAGAACGTTGGTTAGTATTTTGATTTCTACCCGCTGCAATAGCAGCATAGGTAGCTCCATTAACTCGCTGAACATTGTTAGCAGCGAGGGGAGTAGGTACAGATGAAAAATTTGAAGCAGGGGTGATATTTGTACCTACGGGTACGAATGTAGAATTTGTTAATTGCTGACCGTTGTTAACAGCAGAGGAATTTGTACCTGGTCGGAAACGTGGAGCGTTTCTTACCTGTCGGTTAGAACGAGATTGTAGGATCGCTTTGCGAGTCTTACATTCCCAAAAATTGGATTTGTGGTTTTCACCACAATTTGAACATTTAAATTTCTTAGGATCTTCCTTCACAGGACAGTCGTCCTTTGCGTGAGAGGAATCACCACAATTCATGCATTTAGCTGGCATGTAGCAATTTTTAGTTCCGTGACCCCATCCCTGGCACTTACGGCACTGGGTGAGGTTTTGGAAATTTCCTCCAGTCTTCCTGAAGTGTTCCCACTTCACTCGGACATGGAGCATAAGGCTAGCTTTTTCTAAGGCCTTAAGGTTGTTTAGTTCACTAGACTTGAAGTGAACTAAATAAAAATCATTAGAAATCCCGTTGCGCGAATCGCCAGGACGGGATTTCATTTTCATTTTGATTACTTGGAGTGGCACAACTCCAAGTAATTTTGCCAGTTCATCTTTGATCTGATCCAGGGATTCACCACTGGGCAGTCCTTTCATGACAACCTTGAACACACGTTCAGTTTTGGTGTCGTAAGTAAAAAATTTGTGCTTCTTCTCAGTAAGATACTTGAGAAGACATTTAAATCCGTCCAAGGTTTCAGCCAATACACGGCATTCACCCCGACGTCCAATTTGTAGTGAAAACTTAACTTTCACGAAATTCAAAAGTTCCAAGCGAAGAGCATGGAAATCGGTAGTGGTTATCACAATAGGGGGAATCTTTTCCTTCTTGGCATTAAGCCGGGAAAGTTTACTAGAATTTTTCTTGGATGATGGATCATTCTCATCATCCGTGAGCAAATCAAATTGATTACTCAAATTAATTTCATCAGAAGGGGGGTCAAGAGTTTGCCCCTTTCTTTTGCGTTTAGGCGCCATGGCGGCAGTAAATTTTTATCCAGATCGACTTCCAAGCAGATTACTATAAGAATCTGAAGGATCGAAGAGGAATTTTCCAAATCGATATCCAAGAAGGATTACCTCGGGTAGGGTCCAAACAAGGATCGAAGAGGAATAAGAGTTGAACAAGGTAGAAAATTTTTACAGGTTGAGCACTGAAAAGTGCTGTTTAAATTTGTTGTAGCTTTAGGTAGTAGTAACACTTCCTTCAGCAAAAAGCAAATAGATCCGCACGGCAAGAGAGCACGATGCGGACTGATTTACAAGACGTTGATTAGACCGGTGGTCCTCTACGGTAACGAGGCCTGTACTACCCAAGTAACCGATAACCATTAAAACGTAGCCCTAATTCTACTTTAAATCCGAATATGAAGCAGTCATTTAATGCATATGAAGTGCTGTTTGCTAATACAGAGCTGATACAATGCTAAAAAAAGCGAAATAGCGGACCTTTATAATGCTAGTATGGTAGCCCGTTACTAGCACTCCTAATGCTTACTTAGGGCTGATGTGAGAAACGTCAACATTTTGAGTAAACAAATACCACCCACCGCCTCCGATGCCAAAAATAAGTAGACTCGTAAACGATTTAAATTATTTAAGCACACGATTGGTAGAGGTCATCCATTTCACATTTTCAGGGTCTGAGATCTCATCATCAAGAAGCTGTGAAGATCTCATAATTTAATTTTATGCACACTTGCCTGATGCAAGCACTGAGTTTTATTTTCAAATGCATACATTACGTAGATCTAGAGATTTAGGGATGAGAATATACGAAGTGGTTAAACAAATCGCGTGTTGAAAAGTCATGCATCAGTCGTTTACTCAATCATCTTTGTCAAATGTCTATGTTGGTGTTGGTGTGAACATGTCCGAGAGATACAACTCATTACAACTCACAAATACTAACTACGTGGTTTTCCTGTCAAAATATTATCAAGCATTGCTAATGCTCATATAAAGAGGATTATGTGCATGAAGCATTAGGAGTGTTGCCGGCGCCGGTGGTGTAGTGGTAAGCCTGTGGTTCTAACACCCCAATGGGTCTGGGTTCAATCCCAGCCGAGGTCGGTGGGATTTTTCTGAGGCATAAAAATCTCTGGTCACGTCTTCCTTCAGAAGGGAAGTAAAGCCGTTGATCCCGGCCCTTGTGTGTTGAATGAATGGGTGCGATATTCTACGCAGGTGTGGAAGCTGCCTTCCTGCACATTCGATTGCCGTCAATGGATGGTAATCGATGTCCGTCGGTGATTGGCACTAGATTGCGGAACAGAGACCGACGTTAAATAAATGAAATGAACAACAACAACATTGATTGAAGACTTATAGCATTAGCAATGCTGATTA